CTGAGGGACAACATCAAGAAGAAAATGAATTTGGATCAGTAACCACAAGTCCTTCATTGGTGAGAAACACTGTCTCCAAGGCTTTTCATCTGAGCCCGTCCTAATCCCAGATTAACCCTGCTACCAGCAAATGTCAAACCACCACACCATAGTGCCATAGCTTGATGTTCCCTATGAGGTTCTGATCTGGCTCCATAAATAAATACTTCCCTTCGGAGGGAACAAGGATCCACCCAATATATCCTCTATAAATACAGGGACCCGTCTCTTTATGTGAGCCTTGGGCCAGGGCTGTGTTCCTCTCAGTGTGAGAACCTCAGACAGTTGGTTTCCCCAAACCCATCATTGTTTTGGATACCAAGTGGTTTCCCATGTGAGTTGAGAAAGGCCACCGATGGCCAAGGAGGTACGAAGCCTTCTATATGACACCAGTCTCAGAGGAGCAGGGACACAGATAACGGCCTGGGAACAAACGGCTGTTATTATTTCCTGGGACTTTGGCACCATGACTACCTCAGTTCCCATGAGGAACATTTCACTTCTTTTTGGAGGTACCAGTCACCCTCATGACTCCACCTTTATCTGTCACCAGTATTCACTGAGTGTCTGTTTCCACACTAGACTGGGACTTCCTTGAGGACAGGTACTATACTGGTTCACCAAGAAATACCCAGTTCCTGTCATGGTGCCCAGCWTAAAGATGTTCAATGGTGAGTTTACCACCTGAAGGAAATAACAGTCGTCAATAATAATGACAACCATTTTTCCCCAGACACTTTGCGGTTGACAAAACACTGTGATGTATGCTCTGCCATTCGATCCCATCCCTGTAACAAAGTAGGTGGTAGAGGCCTTTGCAGACTGAGACTGGCTGCTGCCAGCTCACTCAGTTGGCTAGAGCCAATTGTTAAACACTCGGGAGTTTTTGGAAAGCCGGTTGTTCCATCACTGGTGACTTGAAAATGGATATCGTGCAGGTATTTGCATCCCAAGGATGGACCAATCAGGACTCGTATTCTACAGAGAGTGGGTTTTTAGCTTACCAATGACAGAAGGTATGTTCAAAATGGTCTGTGAACGGATAGATGAAGATCACTGAGATACACTGTAGCCAAGTTTCAGGGAGATGGAGTGAGCCCCTCATGTCTCCCAGCCTAGCTGCAGAAAGATGCTGATTCCAAATGGGTTTATTCATTCAGCAAGGTTTTTTTTTTGTTTGTTTGTTTTTTGTTTTTTGGTTTTTTTTTTTTTTTTAGTGTCAGCTTTGAGCCAGAAATGTCCTGTTCTGGCAAATCTGATTGAGGAATTAGTGATTGGTGAGATGAATTTGTCCTCCTCAGAGTTCTTCTCATCAGGCCGTGCTGGTGCCTCCCCAGGGGTCCTGGCCCTTCCCTTGCCCAGGACTGTGACTGTGTCAGTACCTAACACCTCACCCCTACATGAGATCTAAGGATGGTCCTGCTACCACACACCCAGCATCCAGTGTGTTGGTCCACCATGTCTGCTCCCAGCTCAGAGCTGCTTCCATGGATCATGCAGTTCCCCAGCCTGAGATAGCCTCCAGCAATTTATTTTAAGAGCAAGAATCAAACAGAGCCTCAGCCTACCTCTGGAGTCCCTTCTGGTGAGTKCGGTTCCTGATCCTTGCACACCCTTAACACCTATTGGAATCCCACTAGGAAGATTCACTGGGAACCACGGGGACATGGCCCCTATCTGCACAGGTCCTGYTATGCATTGAATGTTGTACTCCCTTGCTCCCCACACTCCTAAATTTTTATGTTGAAGCCCTAATTCCTGGTACTTTATAATATGACCTGATTTAGTAGGTTTTACAGATGTCATTAGTTAAGCTAAAGGGAAGCCATACTGGAGTGGGGTGGACCCCTAATCCAAGATGATTGGTATCCCTATAAAGAGGGTAAATTTGGACACAGACATGAACATAGACAGAATGCCTTGTGAAGATAAGGCAGAGAACTGGATGACACTTATACAAACCAAGGAATGCCAAGGATCACCACCAATCATCAGCGGCTAAGAGAAATGAAGGGAACAGATTCTTTCTCACAGCCCTCCGAAGGAACCRATCCTCTGGACACCTTGATTTCAGACTTCTGACCTCCGGAACTGTGAGACACTATATTTTTGTTGTTTAAGTTTATAGGATTTATCAAAGTAGCCACAGGAAGCTAATACAGGTTCCTTGCTTTGCAACCATCCAAACCRGGCAGCACTAAATGGAGAGTGGGTGAGTAATAGTGACATTACAGAAAGGGAAGGGTCAGAGGCATGTACTGGAGCCAGGCTTGGATCTCATATCAGAGGCACTGGGATGGGGTCATGTTGGAACCATCCTGAATAAGTTCTTGTGCCTGTTCCAGGTGGAAACTCTCTGGTTGTATGAGATCCACAAAACTGGCCACAGATACTGGCTGGACTGTCTAGGGTCAGAGATAGGACAGTAGCAAGTTGCCTCATAACCAGAGCACTGGAATGTGACCACACTCCAGGGGCTGGATGCCTGCCAGCAGACCCATGAGAAAGGCACCATGGTGACATGGAGGTAGAAGAGACTGATGACCCATCTCTGGGACTTCACATGTGGCCAAAATCTGCAGGACTTCCAGTATCATATTTTCCACTGCTAAAAAGAATATTGCTTTCAACAAGACTTCCAAGAAGAAATTTAATCTAGATAGTCAGGAATGGGTGAGATGGGTCAAATATTGATTCCTAGCTTTAGGACCTTCATTCAAACTCCTTGTGGGAAAGGCATATGTCTTCAATGGACCCCAGCTGCTCCAGGCACAGGGACTGGCGTGGAATAGACGCTGACCAAACACAAGTGTCTTTCTCTTTGTCTTATCTCTGCGTTCCCTGAGTATCCTTCTTATCTGATGCAGTGTTCAGAGGGTCAACTCCCTGAAGAATGGTAAATTGGCACTCAGCATTATCTGGCTGTCTGCCTATTCCCAAGTGCTACGGGAGCCCCTGTTTCCTTGGGCACAAGTGTTGACTCTTCCTGAACTAGAAAACTAGAATGTGGGTGCTCGGAGTTCCCAGGGCTCTGACCCCTCAGCACCCTGCCTGGGTTTGACCAACTGGGCACTCACACCCATTTATATGCCTTGTCCTTCTGTAAACTCACGCATTGCCTGACACACATTCCACTGAAGGAAGACMGAAACCTGGAGGTCAAACAAGAGGAGAAACTTGTGCTAAAGAGAGGTGGAGGGATTTTCTGCTCTAGGTCTTTAAATGAGCATGAAGCTCCCCACAGTAGAGCAGTGTGACTCTGGAGATGCCCCCATGGTGGGCCTCGATGCCTCTGAGGACGGTGGTTCTAAAACTTTCAGGGAAGCATAATTTCAGATATTCTCTCATTATCCTCACGTGGAGGGGATTGCTTGACAGGTCACGTGTTCCCAGTGAGATACCATTTAGGAAGGCCCAGGTCACAGAGGATATCCTGAGACTCCCCTGGAGAGCAGAGAAGTCACAGCAACCCCGCCCTTGTCTACAGGTCAAAAGCTACTGGAGAGCCACAGGTATCATCGTGGAGGAGAGGGCTCCAGTTTCTGCCCTTCCGGCCTCACTCTTAGGAGCCTGGTGCAGACTCCCAGCTGCCTCCAGAGCCCCGGGGCTACCCAATTGATGGTGTTCTTCCTTCCACATGATCTGTTTTCTTCAGAGGAAAAGTCTGCTGAAGCCTGTGATTTGTGACACCTTTTCTGCAGGTCATCAACACTCCTTGCCTCACAAAGAGTATTTTATCTCTTTCCGTCCAATAACTGTGTTTCTGAGAGAGACAGAAGTTAGGGCCATGCCCATCGCTATGACTTATGTAAAATCAGGTTGACTTCTTTGCACAGTCAGCCTTAGTATTTCCGTCTTCCCCATCCTCCTGCCTCTTCCCTCGGGTGCCTATGTATTGAGTTGACTTTCTTGAATGTTAAATAAGTCACGTGTGATGGGTCTTGGTGCATGCTGTGTCAAAGAGCTGTGTGGTATTTTTCTCTCTTCCTCTCCACTGTCTGTCACTGCCTCCCACGTGTTTGCCTCTGTACGTGTGCATACATGTATACACATCCACATCCACAGACGCAGACATGCGAGTCACTGCCCTTGTCTACTGTTTTACTTCTATGATTATATGTCTATTTATATTTGTAATTATTATATCCTTATGAATAATCTATGAAGCTCTGTATGCTGTGAGTAAATGCAAGGAACAGAATCCAATTCTGGTATGTGAGTAGGGTGGTGGGGGTGAGCTGCTGTTAAAAATATCAATTCCATAGAAAAAAGATAAACCTGATTTCTAACCATTCAACCTTGTAATAGGTTGAATGATAGCAAACCATTCATTGATTTTGTTTTTTAAAAAGAGTAATAAACAGAAACATGTACCAATTGAAGGAGCCAGGCAATTCAATTATAATTAGGAAAACAAAAGTGATGAGCCTGAACAATGCTGTCTTCATTTTTGGGGATAAGTGTTGAAAATGCCAACTACATAACAATGCAGTGTTTGTTTTCTCATTATTAAAGGCACCAACACTAATCACCTCCTATTTGAAAGCCATATACCAATTGAACACAGTACAAAACCCAAGAGATGGGGCTAATTGACAAGTTTAAAGTAAAACACCCACATAAACATAGACACCAATACAATGAAGATGTAGAGCAGAAGAATATCTGAGATGATTTATATTCACTTCACTGAATAATGTACCAGTCCATCTGTTGATCCATCCATCCATCCATCCATCCATCCATCCATCCATCCATCCATCCATCTATTCAGTACATATGTTTTGAGTTTTTTGCTGTAGGCACAATTCTACTAAAATATACTTGGGATGTATGGTCTAGTGCAATGACCCAATGAAAAGAACTTTTCTTCTTTCCTTTCTTTTGCCTAAACTTTTCCTTTGTGGCTAGAGGGAGAGACACTTGCATTGCTAAAGACAGACAAGGACACACCAACATACCTTTTGTAGCCAGACGAACACAGTTGATTTTGGTCTCCTGTGAACAACAAGAATGAGGCACCAGTTAATTGGTTGTTGGTTATATAAGATTGTTATATAAAGAAAAATATACATATCTATTTGTACATATACATATGCATGCATATGTATTTTTAATTATAATTTAAAATTTGTCCTTTCCATATATTTTTCTCATTGGGATCACCTTTTAATTCCATCTTTTTATTTCTTTTYGGGCTTGGAACATATGCTGTGCTGTTTGCTTCCCCAGACAGAACTACATTTCACATACTTCCCAGAACCTGAAATCTTTAACTATACTTAGTGGGCATGTTGTGGTGTGTGGTGTTCTTTGTTTAAGTGCATGAATTAGCAACTGGAGCCAGGGACCCCTTGGGAAACCTTGTTATAGGCAACAGTATATCTAAATGCACAGATTTGAAGGGATACTTCGAAAGAGCCCCAGCTATATGAAACATGTAAGAATAAAACTACAGAGTTCATGTTCAGAAAGTCACTTTGGCCCTGAGCTCTCTGGTGGACCTCACAGCTGTCATAAATAACATTGCCTGAGTGTTTGTGTGGCTATAGAATCTCTTTGGGGTGAACTATCTAGTTATTGTTGGCTGTTCCCCAAATGAACAGGATCCATAAATCTGTGGTGTTACTGGGTGTGCCATGGAGTTACAGAAAAGTGTGCTCAGGCAGACAGTCAACTTAGTTTACTGGGATTCATTTCCTAAGAGACCCAGGAACCAGTTGAACGTTCCAGTTGACTAAATTATAACCCCAACGGCTGTATGAATGCAATGTGACAATGAAAATAAAAGCAAAAAAATGCAAAAAAAATTATCCAAATCGATAACTTTTGATAAGGCTTTAGATCATTAATTTCTCAATAATCCAGTGCTTATTATTCTGCCCACCACTCAGAAGAAACCGCTATGTCTTGGAGGCACTTGTATTAATCAGGCTAGAAAATRTTATGCTGCAGTAACAAAACTCACAGACTTCAATAGCTGGAAACAGCAAGGTTTCTTTTCTACTCAAACTACATGTCTGATGTAGGTGTGTGTTTGGGTCTGAAGGTTGGGGTTGGGGATTCTCTAATCATTATAATCACCCAGAAACCAAGGTCAGGTTGGTGCCTCCATTGTGATCCCAGGGGAAAGAGCGCTGAAGARTCAAGCTCTGACAATCAAATGCTTTGGGACAGAAGTGACACTCTCACTTCTACTCAAGCTTAACTGCTTAGAACCAGTCACATGACTGTGCTGCATTTCAGTGAGGTGGGGAGATAGAATCTTCCATGTACCCAGAAGTAGAGAAGAAATGGTAACATGCAAATCAGAGTCTATTCTACCTAGGTATACCTCTGACTGTGAGAAATGGTGTCCCATATTTGTTCCCAGTGGTCTCAATCCCAGTTCCTCTGACTGCACAGAAAGTCAGTCCTTCCTTATGCATGAAGCATGTCTGGATACCGAAAGCTGGTTCTCAGGTTCTTTAATGTTCTTGTCAGCAAACCTCATAACATAAGAGTTTCATCTTTTGAACCATCCTAGCTACTCATTTCATGCTGAGAGATCTTCTACTTTGTCCCTCTCAACATGCAGTGACTAGAACAGGGAGCATCAGTCGATGAGTGGTCTTGTCACCATAGGATTGCCTGCTCTATCATGGTTTCCCTTACTTGTACTGGGCTTCTAGAAATATAGCCAACAACATCCTAACCCAAGTACAGAATCATATTTACCATCATTGAGTTCCATCTTCATTGATCTGATTCTTATAGCCTATCATCATATTCTCTACCCCCTACAAATTTGGGGAAATGTTTTTCTAATTTTTATCCAGATCAATAATGTAAGTAGTAACCTCAAAAATGCCAATGGTAGAACTCTGTGGCACATACTGAAATCCTTCATCCCTGTTGACATTCAGAATCTTTGAACAAACTAGATACCAAATATCTGATTGCTTATGCAATCACATCTCCTCAATAGCTCAATTGCTTATGCCCTGTATTTTTCCACAATAATATCTGAAGAAGAGGGTCAAATTCATTTCAGATGCAGGTACTCTGTCTTTTTCATTTCCCTAACCCAGCGGCTTAGGAACACTCTTAAAGAAGGCTAGGTTGGTTGGCACGACTTGTTCTTTGGATCAAGTGTTTCTTTTCTTCCTTTTAATCATGATGAAAATGGCCCTTTTAAAACAAGTAATTGTTTCATTTTATAAAAGAGAAAAATCAGAAATCTTAAAAAAATATGACAAGCTATGGTTCAAACATATGAAGTATGAGATGTTCATATTAAATATCAACCCTGTTTTACTTCAAGAAAAAGCTTTTTTTAAAATAAAAGATAGAAATAAAATGACTAAAAGAAAATAGAAAAATAAAGTGGAACTTCTCAGTGTGATATCCAAAAAGCATAAGTCATAAATGGATTAAAACTTGCAGGCAATGATCAAAGTAAGCAAGTGAGTTACTTTGTTTTCATGTTTGGAGAAAGAGCAAGGTTCTTCAACTCCCATTGCTGTTCAGTTCTCAGCTTTGGTTAAATAAACCCCAGAGAACTGAAGGCCTGCAAACAGTGGAGCATCATCACAGAGACCACCTCTAAGAAACTGCACAGAGGTGTGGAGAGGTGTGGAGAGGCTAGAGATGAATCAGAAAACTCTCCCATTTCACCTCAGTGGAAAAGAAGGAGGTTTTGCATCTGATATTAGGAAACTTGCCAGTTCTGTGCAGGATTGTTGAATATAGTGGTGAGCAAATGTTTGATGAGGTCAAGCCCATTGGAGTAATTTGTCAATATAGCCATCCTTGGTATCCAAGAGGGACGRATTCCAGGAACTTCCTAGATACCAAATCCACAGATGCTCAGGCCTCTTAAGTCACCTCTCTATATTCTGCACCCCTGAATACAGAGTCAATTACATGTACCTTAACTTCAAAGAGATTCCATCTAATCTCTCTACACCAACTTATTCTCAAGCAAATAACCTTGAATGTAGAAAAGGATTTCTAGTCCAAAATGTTGGTTCTACTGTTCTTATATGCCCCTATAACCATAGGGGCATGATAAAGGAAACTTTGGTCTATCTATACAAGGGATCATTATAGTTTTTAAATTATTTTTTAATGTTATTGAGGATTGAACTAAGAGAGCTCTACCACTGAGCTATATCCCAAGTCCCGTTTTCACATTTTTTTTTTAATTTTGAGAAAGGATCTCACTAAGTTGCCAAAGCTGGCTTTGAACTTGTGATCCTCCTTGCCTCAGCCTCCTGAATATCTGGGATCAAAGACATGTGCCACCGTGCCTGGCACAATGGAATATTATGAAGCTGGGCTGTGCCCTGTGAAAACGGAGGAATGGTATATTAATAGAGAATACTAAATGAATAGAGCAAAGTACTATTTTATATTACAACTAATATGTAAATCTAAGCACTTAAAAAAGAAATTCTGAAGGAAATATACTAAATCTTAATAATTGCTGCACTGTCACTTTGAAGTATAACATATATACATAGACAAGGCAATTAYACTAATCTTAAATACAGATTGACACATTTCCCACCAAGTAAACCCACACCTATGACCAGCACCCTGGACAAAACACTCAACACCACCAACATCTCAAAAGCCTCCTTCAGTTACCTTCTAGTCATTTCCTCCCCCAAAAGTGAACATGAACCTCCCCCTGTGGGAATGTTCTCTAAAACGTCGCCACACTGAAGGGAACCTGGGGTCGCTGTAACGGGCTCTCCTCCTTCCTCTGCTGCTCATCATATTATCTGTGAGAAGTTGCTAATGCTCCTTAGAATCATCCTCCCTTCCAGAGTTTCAGGCACAGGCAGTACTCACACCACCCTTTCTACTCCACACTGTCCAGAGCCTGTTTTTCTATAATCTAGAGCACGTGTCTGATTAGGCTGAAGTCCTCCTGACTCTGAACAGGAGACTGACATGGCCACTTTCTTCTGTGTTCCTGGCAGCTTTAATTCCAGAAGCGATCTGTCTCTGTTGGTTAGAATTCGGCACAGAATCACAAAGCCCTGAGTCACTCTCTTGACCTTCTGGGTAACTGAGTTGTCAGCGAGCAAATCGGAGATAAGCTTGGACATTCTGAATTCTGTCAACAAGGAGGTCTGGCTGGCGTGCATATGTCCAAAGTCCCCAATCAGATCAACAAGCAGGAAATGAATCCTTTCTTTGTGCTCTGATTATATCAGGCTTTGGGGAAAGGGGAAAAATTGGTGTGTTTTCTGTTGTTCTTGAACTATGCCTACTTCTAGGACTATGATACCTGCGGGGACAGTGCAATCCAGTTTCATTTCCTTCCCATTTCAACCTCACTCCTGTTTCACTTCTTGCTCCAGAGTTGAAAATCTGCACACAGGTATCCATCAACTGGGGGTAGAACAGAATGTCTATTACTATTGTGCTTCTGTTGAGACTTGCTGCTTCTACTCAAGCCTCTGCCAGTGCTGTGCAGCACTGAGCAAGTCACCGTCCCTCTCAGTGGATCAGGTTCCTCATCAATCAAATGACAGAGTAAGGGGTAGAGAAGGTATTCTCGGTAGAGAGGCAGGCCATTGTAAAGTTGTGCTTCAGTGTTGAATCTGGTCCCAGCTACTGGCACGTTCCTTTTTCAGTATTCTGTTTTCTTGATACCACTCCATAACACATCTTCCCATGCATAGAGTTGTTTTTAAAAGCTACATTTACTTAGCTGGGCACAGGGGTGCAAACCTGTAATCCCAGCAACTCAGCAGCAGGAGGATTGYAAATTCAAAGCCAGCCTCAGCAATTTAATGAGGTCTAAGCAACTAATAAAAAATAAAAAGGGCTCCATGGTTAAATGCCCCTGGGGTTCAGTCCTTGCCCCCTTCCCCAGCAAAAAAAAAAACAAAGCTGTACCTACTTTATTTTCAAGAATGCCTTATCCCTGGGCCAACTGATTGCCTCCATTTTAGGATAGGCCCAAGACTAACTTATCCATAAATCCATCCTTCAACTATATA